ACTTGTCTACTATCTTCTTAGTGATTTTCTCTTCTCCTCCCTCCCCACCCTTGAAACCCTCAAAGAATGTTTTTTTCTGTGTGTAAAGCTTTTCTTGAATTCTTATAATAGTGGTCTCATACAATATTTGTCCTTTTGTGATTGACTTATTTCACACAGCATTCAGATTCCAGATTCATCCATGTTATGAGATGTTGCATGGATTCATCTTTTTTATTGTTGCATAGTATTCCATTGTGTGTACATACCATAATTTTTTTTATCCATTCATCTGTTGATGGGTATTTAGGTTGTTTCCATATTTTTGCTATTGTGAATGGTGCTGCAATGAACATAGGTGTGCATATGTCTATTCGTGTGACAGCTCTTTTTTCTCTAGGGTACCTAGGAGTGGGATTGTTGGATCATATGGTATTTCTATTTCTAGCTACTTAAGGAAGTGCCATATCATTTTGCAAAGTGGTTGTACCATTTTACATTCCTACCAGCAGTGCATAAGGGTTCCAATCTTCCCACAACTTCTGAAACATTTGCTATTTTGTATTTTTTAGACTACTGCCAGTATTGTTGGGGCGAAACGGTATCGCAGTTTTGTTCTGATTTGCATTTCTCTAATGGTAATGAACATGACCATTTCCTTATGTGTCTGTTGACTGTCTGAATGTCTTCTTTGGTGAAGTGTCTGCTCATATCCTTTGCTCATTTTTTAATTGGTTTATTTGTCTTTTTGTTATTAAACTGTTATAGTATTTTCTAGAGTTTACAGATTAGACCCTTGTCAGATATGTCATAGCCAAAATTTTTTTTTCCCAGTCTGTAGGTTCTCTTTTCACTCCTTTGGTGAAGTCTTTTGATGTGCATAAGTGTTCAATTTTTAGGAGCTCCCAGTTATCTAGTTTCTCTTCTGGTGTTTGTGCATTGTTAGTTATTGTTTGTATACTATTTATGTCACTTATTCGGGCCTCTGGCATCCCTGTTTTTTCTTCCATGATCCTTACCATTTTAGATTTTATATTTAGGTCTTTGGTCCATTTTGAGTTAGTTTTTGTGTATGGTGTGAGGTATGGATCTTGTTTCATTTTTTTGCCAATGGATATCCAGTTATGCCAGCATCATTTGTTAAAGAGACTGTCTTTTCCCCATTTAATGGACTTTGGCCTTTTGTCAGATATCAACTTCTAATAGATGGATAGATTTACTTCTGGGTTCTTAATTTTGTTCCATTGGTCTTTGTGTCTGTTGTTGTACTAGTACCAGGCTATTTTGACTACCATGGCTGTATATCAGGTTCTAAAATCAGGTAGCGTGAGGCTTCCCACTTTGTTCTTCTCCAGTAATGCTCTACTTATCTGGGGCCTCTTCCCTTTCCATATGAAGTTGGTGATTTGTTTCTCCATCTCATTAAAGAATGCTGTTGGACCAAGAGAGAGACAGGGCCACATAAACCAGAGACTTCATCAGTCTGAGAACAAAAGAACTAGATGGTGCCCAGCTACCACATGACCACCCTGAGAGGGAACACAACAGAGAGTCCCTGATGGAGTAGGAGAAAAGTAGGGTTCAGAACTCAAATTCTAGTAAAAAGCCCAGACTTAATGGTTTGATTGATACTGGAGGGACCCTGGAAGACATGGCCCCTGGACTCTCTGGTCTATTTCTGAAATTTTATTCTTATTCTTTTGGGTTTCTAGTTGTTGTTTTTCTATGGTTTCTAATTGTTCATTTATTTTGTTGTTCTGTTATTGTATTGTCTTCCTGAATTATTCTATTACTTTGTGTTTTCCTTGGTTTTGTTTGTGTTTTCCCTCATCTCTTTCTTCATCTCTTGCAGAACTCTGTATATCAGTTTTTTGAATTCTTTATCGTGTAGTTCCATTGTCTTTTCTTCCTCTGGAAGGTTTTCTGGTTCTTTATTTTGGTCACTTGCTGGAGCCATCTTGTTCTGCTTCCTTCGGGGATTTGATATTGTATGTTGTCTCTGAGGCATCAAGAATTTATTATATTTATTTATTTATTGTATTGTTTGTTTGCTGTATCCTGAATTTTTGTTTTGTTTTATTTTGATATATCCAAGTATGCTGTGCATGTGTACTACTCTGGTCACTAATGTGGCTGTGTAGAAGCTCTCACCTCCTGTTTCTTGGTGGGTTGAGCAGCAACTGGGTTTGTAAGCACAAGTCCCTGTTTGCTGGTTTTGCAGTGCTGTTGAGGATGCAGGTGACATTTTTGGTGAGATGATGTATCTGTCTTGCTGGTCACCTCGCTGTGAGTGCTGGTTGTTGAGTTTGGTGTTATGTGTACGCTCTGCTGCTTGGTGGCTGGTCAGGACAAAGGAGCCCAGGTTGTCAGTCACTGGGTGGGTGGTGCAGAGACTCTCACCAACAGACCAGGGTGGGCAGAGCTTCTTGGGGGTGTTCAGAGAAGGCACAAGCATCTGGTTGCAGGGGGAAGGCCGATGCAGGGGGCGAGGCAGGGGGGATGTTGCCTGCCCATGGATGCCTGGTTGGAGGGCATGTCCCTGTCTGCTAGAGTGCATTGTGAAAGAGTCAACCTAATACTTGCAGAGCGCAGTACCTTGCAGAATATTTGCACATTCTATTCCACTTTGTGGAGCCCTGGTGGTGCAGCAGTTAAAGTGCTCATCTGCTAACCAAAAGGACAGCAGTTCAAACCCACCAGCTACTCATGGTAGGCTTGCTTCCATAAAGATTACAGCCTTGAAGACCGTATGGGACAGTTGTACTCTGCCCTATCAAGTTGCTATGAGTTGGAATCAACTTGATGGCAATAGGTATGTGTATTCCACTTATCCTCAAATGAAATAAATGCCAGCATTATTAGCCCCATTCTACTGATTAGATATCTGAGACATGGAAAAATAACACATCTTTCCCAAGGTCACAGAGTAAGACTGTAGCAAACCAGAACCCAGATCTCCAGACTCCCAGTCCAACATTCCATCTACCACATATCCCTTCTTCTCTGGAGTGCTGTATTTCATGTAGCTCCTCTCTTCTCTCCAAACCTACCAACAATGGGCACAGGGAAAGGAAAGGAGAGTGTTCCCAAATTATCTTTGCCAATCTCTATCCCTGAATTGTATTAAACCAAGTGCATAGCAAACCAATGGGGAAAATCATTGCATTTTCTCTCCCAATTTAGCACAGAAGTGTCAGATTCTCTACTGGCAATGTGAAACATATCTTTTAGATGAAAGAGGGAACTGTGCATCGGGAATACTGCAGCCATGCTTCCTACCTGGTGGGGACAGTCCTAGTTTCATGTAATCTTACTCTTTCATAGAAGGTGATTTAATAATTTCTAAGTAACCAGTATAATCATTTTGATTTTTCAAATGAATGTATTAAAAATAATTAAAAATTTTGTCAGACCATGTACTCTGATTTTTGGTTTGGAAAACACAACCACAGTATCTCTAAGCATCTCTATTCTTTAGGTGCAAGGGCCGTCCTTCCAGTTTTGGAAGGTTTGTCTTTTCCTTCTTTCAACACTCTTATCTGTATCTCTTCACCAAGTCTCTATTATTCCTGTCTGCAGTTTTCCTAATGCCTCACAGAGCTCTCATTTTGAATTCCATTCCTGTAGACTTTGGTCACAGTTGGTGACAGCTAATGAAGTATAATGCATTACGTTTCTTGGGGATGTGAGGGAGGCAGAGAGGTGGCCTTCTTGAGGATTAAAAACCTTGAGGAAAAGAACAACTGCAGGCATTAGAGGTAATTTTTTAAATTTGGCTGAAGGTGGAGGGGTGCATTCTCTTCAAACCACACTCTGAAGACAGCTGCCCACTAGTCAGACTTGTCCTTCAAAAATTTCCTCCAGGAAACAACTGCATTTTGACTGGATTACAGATTAAAACAGACATATATTAGGAGGGTGGATAAACCCAAACACGCTGCTGTCAAGTCAATTCTGACTCATAGCAACCCTGTAGGACAGAGCAGAACTGCCCCATAGGGTTTTCAAGGCCGTAATCTTTATGGAAGCAAGTCTTTCTCCCACGGAGTGGCTGGTGGGTTCAAATCGCCAACCTTTCAATTAGCACCTGAGCGCTTAACCACAGTACCACCAGGGCTGGATAGCCCATACAAAAATGCAGAATTTAGACTGACCAGTGTTCAAATCCTAGCTACACTTTTTAGTTTACAACCTCAGGAGAGTCTCTGGTATCCTTTTGGGTCTCAGTTTTCTCATTTATAAAATGTGGATAAAAATATCTTCCAAGGATTTTTAAGAATACATGAAACAGCAGAGTTCCTGGCATATGGTGAGTGAAAAGAGTTATAATTCACATGAATTAATACACTTGAAAAAACCTGGAGCTAAGGGAATAAAGAGGAAAAGCTTTCGTGGCAGTGGGGGTAAATGTAGTTCTGAGAATTCTAATGACATGTATTGTTAAATTTTAAACCTTAAGATCGTATACAAGTAACTGAGAAAAACAGTATACCAATGCCCATCCACTTGATATCTTTCTGTTATGCGGCATATAGAAAGAGTGACCATATGTTTTTATATGTTTGGGACAGTTCCCATTTGTCCAAGTTGTGTGAGGCAACAAAATCCCAGATTATGCCTGTTGTCAAGGTGTAAATATGAATTAAAAAAAACAGTTGCTATCGAGTCAATTTCAACTCATGGCAACTCCATGTATTTGAGTAGAACTACGCTCCACAGGGTTTTCACAGCTGTGACCTTTTGGAAGCATATCACCAGGCTTTTCTTCTGAGGCAACTCTGGGTGGGTTCAAACCGCCAATCTTTCAGTTAGGAGCCCAGTGCTTAACAGTTTATGCAACCCAGAGACTCAAATATCCTGATTTGAACAATAAATTTTGTAGTCACCTACACATAGAGAATGCCAGTTCTACCCCTTTTTATTTCAATGGAACATTTTACTAGCTGCTGGTTTTCTTGATTTTTCCAACTCTCTAAGATCTCTAACACCTCAAAAGTCAGTAAATTCAATTATGAAAATACCTGCTTCAAAATGCTCTCCATTACATACTTTTGTAGAGACAACTCCAGTTCAGGATCAGACTCCAGCATGCACGCAAGCCTCAGGAGGTCTAAGAGGGCAGAAGGAAGGGATGGGCTCAGAATAGGAGGCTTGGTCCTGCAAACCCAGGGAGAGTAGCCCTCTAAGTCCCCATTTCTTTGGCTGGTTCTCACAGTTCAGTCAGGGAACCCTGGGACACCAAGTGGCCAAATAGGCCAAGGGAAATCCAATGAGAAATTCTTAGAAGTTGTAAGTTTCCCAAAATTCAGTTTTACGTAGCTCAAAGTGCTGTTCTAATTATCATCATACTTTGGGATGTGGAAAGATTTTCACCTCTGGGCTTGAGCTAAAATTATTGCCACAGGAGATGGGAATGAGCAGATGAAGGGATGACCATAGAGGAGGATGGTGACGGAATGAAGGGGATGATAGAGTTGAAAAAGCACCAGGATTGAGTCAGGATACTGGTTTCTGGTCCTAAGTTTGATAACAATTTACTGTGTGACCTTGGACAAGTCACTTTACTACAATGATAGTACCCTATTTCCTCATCTGGGAAAGGAGCAGTTGGGCTACAATAGCTCTATGGTTCCATTCACTATAAGGGTGATAGTTCTGTGCTGTAGAATAGACTGATAGGAGGTGGGAGAAATGAGCATGAAGAAATCAAAAAATTAGGGAGAGAGAAATGAGGAGAGGTTTTCAGCAGGAAACAGAATAATTATTATGTAAAAAAATGAGATGAATATCAAGGAAAAAATAAAAATGGAGGCTGAAAGGGATATAAGTTAAGCAAATTTAATTTTGAAAGTATTTATTGATCACCTTATATATTCAAAACATCATGCCAGACACTGTGACAGAAAAGAAAGTAACTTGGAAACTTGGGCTTTTCCTTGAAGGAACTTACTATATCAGTGGACATTCAAATATAATATGTATGGAAAAATTAAACTGCACACACACACACAAAAAAAAGTAGGCCAAATGGCAAATAGGTTGTAAGAGACAGGGACCAGGGAGACTCAGAGGAAGAACTGATCAATATGAGCTAGTTTAATTACAAAAGTCTTTACAGGAGAAGTAGAAATTTAAGTGGATCTTGAATGATGTATGGCATTTTACTAGAAGAATTGAGGAGGGCATGTCTGGCAGTAGGCTAAATAATGAGCACAGTATGTTAAAGGACTAGTGAAGACTCTAGCCTCATTGGAATCCATGGATAATGAAGAAGAAGTGACATTTAACATACTGCGGAGAGAGGCAAGGAGCTCAGGAGTTTATAAAGGCCTGGATCATGATGGTGGCAGTGGAGATGGAGAGGTATGTGCCCAAAATAAGGCCTGAAGAAATCCTTTAAACAAGTCACCATTAAGATTTAGAAGATAGGATAGGGTAGCTAGAGCTCAAGGAGTGGGTAGTATTTCCAGGCTTTCTCCTTTTACCTCTGGATCTTCTGGGATTCTTGGCCTTACCTCATCAATTTTCCCCCTCATCACCTCTTACAGCTTTCTAAAAGTACAATTTACTATTTATAATGTTCAAAATATTCAAGAGTCGTATATAAATGGTAAGGAAGAAGAATGATTCAAAGATGTTTCTGAGGTTTCTAGTTTGGAAGAAGAAAGTTTTTAGGGAAAGAAAAGTAACTTAAGAGTTCAGACATATTAATGTTAGAAGGTCTGTTTGACATCTGGTGGAGATGCTCTATAGATAAGTTTTTTTTTTCTTTTTTCTTTTATTAATTTAAAATTCAGGACAACAGTCTGGGCCGAATTCTGACAGTTAGGGCCAGAACTTGGGTGATGCAAGCCACTTACAGGAGACCTTGAGAGAAAGTGCCTCCTTAAATTTTGTGCCCTAGGCTCCTTGCTTGTTTTACCCTAGTCCTGGCCCTCCTGGGAGTCATATGGAAGTTAAGCATGAATGAATAGCTCACCAAGAAGTAAGTGGAGGAGAGTAGAAGGTCAAGGACAGATCCCTGAGACCACCAACGTTTAAGGAATAGGAAGGAGACTCAGCAAAGGGCATTGAAAATGGGTAGTTTGAGGGCTAAAAGGAAGACTGGAGAAGAAAAATTTTCTTGAAGCCAAGAACAGACAAGAAGATAGTACCTAGAAAGGGAGGATAATCTAAGGCCAATCACCTAGGACAAGGCCTGAGAAGAGTTTATTTGGTTTGGCAAGCTGATGGTTAATAGTGGCCTTGATATAGATTCAGTAAGTAGAACAGAAGGGCAAGTGAGTAGAAACTACAAGTCAGGACTCAAGACTGAAGAACAGATGAATACATACCCCCTGGGGTGCATACAATCAGTGTTTGTTGGGTGAAAAAATAAATGAGGGGATAAAAGAAGAGGTACAAATACATAGATTACTTACCTGAGATGTTTGGAGGTGAAGGCTAGGAGGGGAAAGTAAGATCAAAGAGGTTTTTATTTTTATTTTTTTAATCATGGGGGAGATTTGCAAATGTTTGAAAGATGAGGGAAAGGATTCAGTGCAGAGGGAGAGGTGGAGGGCCTGAGGAAGGCTGTACTTAGAATTGCTGTTCTGCGAAATGGGGTAGTAGGTCCCCTTTGTGTGCCAGAAAGAACCAGGGAGATGTGTTGAGGTGCCCAGATACTTGTAATGGAGCAGCTGGCATTGGTATAAGACCCAGTTCATCATTGGTAGAGCAGAGACTCTTGTCTGTGGAGGGTACTTACTTTTGTGATCACCGGAAGGATAATAATCCATGAAGTTCATACACTTTGTGAAAAATTCATCAAAATTAAAAGTAGGAGGGGGTTTTAAGAAGTTAACCTAAATAAAATAAGAAGTTTTTGGTTATTCTGAGGGTTGTCTGGTCCTCCAAGTGTACTTTCTCAGCAGAAAGGGTAGGGAGTATGTTTTTGAATGTCCATGGCATGGTAAATAGTTATTGGCATAAACACTGAAGATAATCAACTTGGTTGTGATTACACTAAAATACATCTCCAATTATTAAGATCTCGATCTTCAGTATATGTGGAGAGCCATTCCAAGGGCTAACCTGTACACTTTTTCACCCTCAGAGTATTTTTCTTCTTTATTTTTTCTCATAATATTTTAATTCAGATAAAACTTGGTTAAACTGTACATCATTTTCTCCTTTCAAGTGCAAAAGGACCAAGGCGATGGGTGCCCAAAAAGGTAGTAGAAACATCACCAGTAATAAGACATAGCAACATCATGAACCCCATGATTCCATACACTGAGAATAGCATAACATCCTTTCTGTGGTATTCTTGCCAAAAAATAATTCCTAATCTCAGTTCAGTAATGAGAAAACATCAGGCAAAACAAAACAGAGGGACATTTGACCAACTAATGAATCAATACTTTTCTTAAGTGTTAAGGTCGTGAAAGGCAAGGAAAGACTGAGCAATTATTACAGAAAGTGGGAGACTAAGTAAAAATAACAAAAAAGGCAATGTGAGATCATGTATACAATCCTGGAAAAACTGGTGAAATTCAAATAAAGTCGTTACTTAGTAAATAGTATTGTACCAACGTTAATTTCCTAGTTCTAACAATTGGTCTCTGATTATGTAAGATTTTAACATTCGGGGAGGCTGGGTGAGGGACATACGGAAACTCTCTGGACTATTTTTGCTACTTTTCTGTAAGTGTAAAATTAATTCAAAATAAAAAAATTAAAGGTATAAGGAATGATTGAGGAAGATAGGAAATGAGGCATTGCTATCAGCCAGTCAGGCCATGTAGCATGATGTGGTTGCTGGAAGGGTGAGTGGAGGTACTGGGGAGGGTTGAGAATGGATGAGTTGGTGTGGGAGTGCTTCCCTTCTTTGCCAGCGCCTACATGGATTCTCTGTCTTTTCTGTCTGTCATGCAGTTCCATTCCCTTGGTTCAGCTAGCAGCATAGCTCTCTTCCCCTTCTCATGCCCTCAAAGCACAGTTCCTCTAATTGGACATAGCTCAAGGACAGTGCTGCTTACAATCTTCACCTTAAGGAGACTGTTTTTACGAGGCAGGGCCTTGGGGAAGGTCTCTCACTCCTGCACTTGCTCGTTTCCAATCTCTCGCCCTCAGTGATCCGCTCACCCCTGGGTTATAAGGATGTTGGTTGGTGAAAGTGAGAGCCAATGGCAGTCCTCAAAACTCCTCCCTTCTGCTCCTAACAAATAGCCCGGAAACTCTTTCTGTTCCTTGAGCAAGGTCACTAGTCTCCTAAAAGGCTCAATACCCAAATTCTACATCTTTAGTTACCCACAGGGATAAGGCTAATCACATCCTCCTTGAATTCCCCAGTCTTTGCTCATCCCAGAGGATGTATCCTGGATTAAAGCCTCTTAAACCTAAAACCAGATTGACCCCATCCCAGCCTCCACCCCAGTAGCTTCTTGTAGCCAATCTTTCCGGTGCTCTTCTGGCAGGAGGCCCCTGGTATATACTGCCAGAACTTTCTGCAAGTGGCAGAACCACACCTACCTTAACTGCTCTCTGGTCTGGAATCCTCTCGATCTCAACCATGCTTCGGTCACAGAGCTGCCAGCAGTTTGGTGACAGAATGACGTCGTTCATCTGCGCCATGTTCTGCGCAAAGCGGACGTCATCCACTGCCTGACCAATTACAAGAAAGTAGTTGCGCGTTTCATCTCCAAAGACCAAAATGCTGATGTGGCCAGCAGACAATCCTGGCAAGAAGGCAAGCAATAAGATTTGTACAAGAAGTTCTGGGTTATTTCTCAGCAGCACCAGTTCTTGGAAAAATGAGAATCTTGGTGTGGCTATACTACTTCAGAGAAAAATCTAGGCTTCTAAAATTTAACATCGGAATCAAAGAATACCTCCTGTAGCCCCAGGCCTTCCAAAACTCTCCTTCTCCCAAGCTAGGAAGTTCAGCTACTAGCTCTCATCTTTCTATGACACTTAACTCTCTAGATGGCCTTATCAGTCCTCAAGTTTATTTCATCTTTTTTTCAATTTATTCATACTTAAGGGCAATGACTGCTAACAGCTTTAATAATTCCTATTTAGGGAGAATTTACATTTTATCAGAGACTTAGGATTTAGCTAAAAAGAAACCCTTGTGCTCCAATTTCAGGTAATAGCCAGAGGGTTGGGGGAAAAGGACTAGGCATTTTGATAGTCAGGTGCCCCATCCCCACAATGTTTCCTCTAATTATTTTAAAGTTGGGAGCTGAAGATTTTGGTACCTGAGCAAGAGAAGACAAAATGTTGTAAAATGTGACATGTACATAAAATCCACATATAAATGAGTTACAAATGATAAACAGTTCTTTTAAATGATTGCAATTAATATTATCAAAGTTTACTTTTTTATCTTTGTAGTACCAGAGGAGATCAGCATTAACAACCATTATGTACAGCAGAGAACATATGGTTTGTCTTCTAGCTGAAACACACTGATGCTCAGATTCATTAAATGGAAAGGTTCTGGAACCTACACTCCTAACAGCCGATCAGTATGTATTTGAGGGGTTTGAGCCTCCATCATTCTCATCAGACTCCCAGAGAGTTAATTTGGAAAAAATGTTCAGTAATCTAACAACCTTAATTTTTTTGACAAAATATTTAACTTATTTGGAAATTTTTAATAACATCAAAAGGGGCAAAAGGTGGCATATGTTAAAGAAGGTTAAAGGAGGTTTCCACCGGCTCTTACACTTCAGAATTCTAAGTTTACAAAGCTTAGTTAGGCAGAAGCTAAGAAACACCAACAGCACGAACCATCAGCTCTAGCTGTTACTCAACATTTATAACTCTCGGAATCTCATTCCTCACCTATTAAATTTTTACAATAATGCCTATCCATCAGGGCTGTGGAGAAGCAAGAATGATATAATGTGTGTAATATCTGAAGAGCAACAAGGAAATGTGTGTTATTGTTACTGTTGGTGTGAACATAAGAAGCCCTCTACAAAGCTGGAGCTATGCTGCAGTCTCAGCTAGTAAGCTTTTCTTGCACATCATCTTTTTGAAGTGGGGGATAACCAGTCTCATAATATTGCTGAATCTATGTAATGACAAGCTACTCTCTATTGTACTTGATGATGTACATAGTTGACAAGCAGCAAGACAATCATAAGAATAACTACAATAATAATACAGCCATAATAATAGACTCAAACATATCAATGATCGTGAAGGTGGCACAGGACCAGGCAATGTTTTGTTCTGTTATACATAAGGTCACCATGAGTTGGAGCCAACTTAGCAGCAACTAATAATATAGTAACAATAATGACTTCTGTTGAGTGATTACTATGTGCCAGGTACTACGCTAATTTGTTCTTTGTATTAACCTGTTATTGTTAGTTGCTGAGTAGATCAGACTAACGATGACCCCATATGCAGAGCAGAACTGCTCCATAGGGTTTTCAAGGCTGTGACCTTTCAGAAGTGGATCACCAGAACTGTCTTCCAAGGCACCTCTAGGTGAGATCAAACTGCCAACCTTTTGGCTAGTAGTTGAGGACTTACATGTTTGCATCACCCCGGGACTCCTGTATTAACCAAGGAGGTTAAAAAAAAAAAAGCAAACTCGTTGCCATGGAGTTGATTCCAACTCATAGAGACCCTGTAAGACAGATTAGAACTGCCCCATAGGATTTCCAAGGAGCAGCTGGTGGATTCGAACTGGCAATCTTTTGGATAGCAGCCAAGCTCTTAACCACTGCGCCACCAGGGCTCCTACCAAAGGGGTAGGTATTGTGATTAGCCTACATTCACTTAACTGGTAAGTGAAAGAGTCAGATTCACATCCTGGTCTGCCTGATTTCAAATTTAAGGCATGATAGTGGGGCTGAGCCAGTGTTCCACCATTTTCTCCTTGAGAGAGAGAGATCCCTCAGGAGTAAGGACTCACATCCAAACTGCTACAGCATCTGTTCCTTCATAAATGCTTACCTATCTTGACCCGGATATCTAGGCCTTCTTCAGACTCCTTGGCCTCAAACAATCCATGGATCTCCAGGCTACATTTAATGACCACTGTGATAATGTTTTTCAGTTGCTTTCGTTCCACCTTCCACAGGGCTAGCAGTGCATCACCTTTAAGAGACAGATACACTGGGGACTTTTGACCTGCCCTAGGGATTAGTCTGTATGAAATCTATACAGAAGCTTACTTGTCGAACACTCTTCAGCCCCCCTCCTAGTCCTGACTTTCTCTGAGTTGCCTCCTTAGTCAGAACTCAGGCACCTCAGCACTCATTTCTTACCCCTTCCTTCTCAGTAAGCCCTCATACCTGCAAATTTTAGGATATCTCCTCCAAAAAGTAATACTTCTGAGAAAAAAAAAAGAAAAGTTAAATCAAAATCTGACTTCTTAAAGCTAATAAAAATAATTCATTCTTCATCAGTGGAATAGAAATTAGGGCAAGAGAATAGCATTTCAGAGAATGGACTTATAACAAAGATGTCTTCTCAGACAAGTTACTTAATCCATTTGGGTCTATTTCCTGAACTGTAGAATGAGTACGTTGAAGTAGATTATGTGTATACATGACTTCCGTGAATGGGAAAAGACAGGAAAAAAGGAAGGTGGAGTGTCTGACAAAGGAAGGCTGATCTTCTGATGAGGACCTAGGACAGCTATCCCCCTCCCACAATAATGGGATGTTTTTATTGATCAGTATATGTTATGAGCTGGGTATTGAGTGATCATGGGTGGGTGGATGAATGACAGGACTCCACAAGAACTGAGAATCAGAAAACGGGGAAACCACACACATGGTCATCTTGGGTTTTGTTTATTTGGGCTTTATGCCATAAATGGACAGTTTTTCTCTTAATTATGCATTATCACAAATTTGTTGAGCATCTACTGCATGCTAGTTGCTGAGTGGAATGCAAAAATGAGTTAGATACAGTTTCGGCTTTTAAGGAGTATTACATTCTATCTAGTGGGTGAAAATAAGGTATTACAGGTAGTCCCCGACTTACAACGTATTCAAGGTATGACAAACAACTGTCTTTTTTTTTTTTTTTTGGTACATCTTATCGTTAATAATATGTACTACATAGTTTTGCAGCACATAATTTGCTGATATTCTCATTTTCATGCCAAGCCCCCAAAACAAATAAAGATCAGATTTATAAAGATGCTGATAATCAAAGCCAATAATAATGAAAACTAAAAAAAATGAGGTATTCAATTTACATCAGAACCAACGTGAGTCATTGGAATGGAACCCTGTCTTAAGTAGGGGACTACCTGTACTAGGGAACTTAAAAAGATACAGTTGCTGTCTAGTCAATTCCAACTCATGGTAACCCCGCGTATGTCAGAGTATAACTGTACTCCATAGACTTTTCAATGGATGATTTTTTGGAGAAGTAGATCACCAGGCCTTTCTTCCAAGGCACCTCTGGGTGGAATAGAACCTCCAACCTTTTGGTTAGCAACTGAGTGCATTAACCGTTTGCACCACCCAAGGCCTACTAGGGAACTTAGAGCCTGATAAAAGACTAGACCTAGAGTTTACTTTATAAATCCTTTTCTTCATAAATAGTTCAAATTAGTAATCCAAACAAGATGATAGGCAGAGGTTGAAAAGGAGACTCAATTTTTCAGTTAGCTTTAAGTGCTTCAGAAACCACTATTAGGAGGCAAATTACTGATAACTTAATTATAAACCACTCTTATCTATTCATATAGAACTCTCTCAATGACTACATTTGAGTTACACTGATGCGAGATATTTGAGTTATTGGATGTAACTAAAGGTACCACTACTACAGTTCTTTTAAAAGTAGTCTGTAATTTATTCTTTTAACTAACACCCTTTCCTTCAAATAGCCTGTATTATTGAGGTTGGATTATATTCCTTGATTTGTACTCTATTATATTTCAAAAAATATTGGTTTCATGAAAATTTCACAGGGAAAATGAGTGGTAAGCAATGGTACTCTATCAGGTTAGAAACAACAAATACAAGAAAAACTGTACTGAAATATTCTCAAGCCAGGAAACTATGGGAACACTTACTCTCTACTATTGCACTTATGTAGTGGTTGAGGATCTCCACCAACTGCTCAGCCCCTCGGTCCATGTACATGGCTCTGCTGAACTTCTCAGTCATCGCAGTAAAACCTGTAATAAATGTGCAGCTAGTATCCTTGGCTGCTTGGAGGAGCCAGTCAGGTGAAGATGGTCACGCTGGAGAGCAGTGGGCCTCAGTTTTTAAGAACTGACAGATTTTCTTCTTAATGATTTTTGTGCCTAGTTAAGTGCCAGGTATGCAGTTTCCTGTATCTATATTCATTATTTTATTTTTTTCTTTAGGTGAAGGTTTACAGAGCAAATTAGTTTCTCATTAAACAATTAATACACATATTGTTTTGTGACATTGATTGTCAAAACCTGGGATGTGTCAACAGTCTCCCCTTCTCGACCCCATTTACATTCATCCAGCTTTTGTGTCACTTCCTACATTCTCGTCCTTGCCCCTAGGCTGGTGTGCCCATTTAGTCTTGTATACATGGTTGAGCTACATGTATTGTTGTTTGTTTTATTGGCCTGACTAATCTTTGGCTGAAGGGTGAACCTCAGGCGTGACATCAGTACCGAGTTAAAAGAGTATCTGAGGGCCATACTCTCAGGGTTTCTCTAGTCTCCATCAGACCAGTAAATCTGGTCTTTTTTTTTTGTGAGTTTGAATTTTGTTCTACGTTTTTCTCCAGCTCTGTCTGGGGCCCTCTATTGTGATCCCTGTCAGAGTAGTCAGTGGTGGTAGCCTGGCACCACCCAGTTTTGCTGGACTCAGTTTGGTGGAGGTTGTGGTAGTTGTGGTCCGTTAGTCCTTTGGACTAATCTTTCCCTTGTGTCTTTGGTTTTCTTCATTCTCCCTTACTCCAGATGGGGTGGGACCAGTACGTGTATTTTAGATGGTCACTCACAGGCTTTTAAGACCCCAGATGTTACTCACCAAAGTAGAATGTGGAAGATTTTCCTGATAAACTATGTTATGCCAACTGAGCTAGATATCCCTGAGACCACAGTCCCCAGCCCTCAGTCCAGTAACTCGATCCCTATGGGACTTTGGACGTGTCTATGAAGCTTCTATGACTTTGTCTTGGTCAAGTTGTGCTGGATTCCCCAGTATTGTGTACTGTCTTATCCTTCACCAAAGTTACCACTTATCTACTGTCTAGTTAGTGTTTTTCCCTCCCACCTCTCCCCTCTCTCACAACCATCAAAGATTGTTTCTTTTTCTGTGTAAACCTTTTCATGAGTTTTTATAATAGTGGTCTCATACAGTATTTGTCCTTTTGGATTGACTTATTTCACTTAGCATAATGCCCCTCAATTCATCCATATTGTGAGATATTTCACAGATTCATCATTGTTCTTTGCGTAGTATTCCATTGTGTGTATATGCCATAGTTAGTTTATCCATTCATCTGTTAATGGGTACTTAGGTTATTTACATCTTTTTGCTATTGTGAATAATGCTGCCATGAACATGGGCATGCATATGTCTATTTGTGTGATGGCTGTTATTTTTCTAGGCTATATTCCTAGCAGTGGAATTGCTGGATTGTATGGTATTTCTATTTCTAGCTTTTTAAAGAAGCGCCATATCGTTTTCCAAAATGGTTGGGCCATTTTACTTTCCCACTGGCAGGGTATAAGAGTTCCAATCTCCCCGCAGCCTCTACAACATTTGTTATTTTCCTTTTGATTGGTGCCAGTAAAGTTGGGGTAAGGTGGTATCTCATTGTAGTTTCATTTGCATTTCTCTTATGGCTACTGATCGTGAGCATTTCCTCATGTGTCTGTTAGCTGAATGAATATCTTCTTTGGTAAAGTGTCTGTTCATATCCTTTACCCATTTTTGAATTGGATTATTTGTCTTTTTGTTCTAGAGGTGTTGGATTTTCCTTTAGATTTTAGAGATTTAGATCTTTGTGTATTTGTCATAGCCAAAAAATTTTTCCCAGTCTGTAGGTTTGCTTTTGGTGAAGTCTTTTGATGAGCATAAGTGTTTAATTTTTACAAGATCACAGTTATCTAGCTTATCTTCTGGTGTTTGTGTATTGTTAGTTATGGTTTATATGCTATTTATGCCGTATATTAGGGCCTCTAGCGCTGACTGTATTTTTTCTTCTATGATCTTTATAATTTTTGGTTTTATATTTAGGTCTTTGATCCATTTTGAATTAGCTTTTGTGTATAGTGTGAGGTATAGGTCCTGTTTCTTTTCTTTTCTTTTTTTTACAGATGGACATCCAGTTTTGCCGGCACCTTTTGTTAAAAGGACTGTCTTTTCCCCCATTTAATGGACCTTGGACTGTTGTCGAAGTTCAGGTGACTGTAAGTATATGGATTTACATCTGGGTTCTTGATTCTGTTCCATTGGTCAATGTGCCTGTCACTGTACCAGTACCAAGCTGTTTTGACTACCATAGCTGTATAGTAGGGTCTGAGGTCAGGTAGTGCAAGGCCTCCTAATTTGTTCTTCTCCTTCAATAATGCTTTACTTATCCAGGGCCTCTTTCCTTTTCAGATAAAGTTAATGTTTAGTTTTTCCATCCCATTAAAGAATGATGTTGATATTTGGATCAGAATTGCATTGTATTTGTAGATTGCTTTGGGTAGAATTGACATTTTCACAATGTTGAGTCTACCTATCCATGAGCATGGTATGTTTTTCCATTTATGTAGATCCCTTTGGGTTTCTTGCAGTAGTGTTTTGTAGTTTTCTTTGTATAGGACTCTTACATTCCTGGTTAGATTTATTCTAAAGTATTTTATCATTTTAGGGGCTATTATAAATGGTATTGTTTTCCTGATTTCCTTTTTGTAGTTCTCTTTATTTTTTTTATTCCATCTTTGATTTCTTCTATTACCCAGTGATTTTAAAGCAAATTGTTATTCAGTTTCCATGTATTTGATTTTTTTCCTTGCTCTTTTTGTAATTTCTACTTTTATGGCATTGTGATCAGAGAAGATGCTTTGTATTATTACGATGTTTTGGATTTTGTTGAGGGCTGCTTTGTGGCCTGAAATGTGGTCCATTCTGGAGAACATTTCATGTGTGTTGGAAAAGAGTGTATACTTTGCTGCTATTGGGTGTTCTATATATGTCTATGAGGTCAAGTTTGTTGATTGTGGCCTTTAGATCTTCTGTATTTTTGTTGAGTTTCTTTCTAGATGTTATGTCCTTTACTGAGAGTGGTGTGTTGGTATGTTGAAGTCTCCTACTATTATTGTGGAACTGTTCATTTCTCTTTTCAGTGCTGTTAGAGTTTGTTTTATGTATTTTAGAGCCCTGTCATTGGGTGCATAGATATTTATTATGATTAAGTCCTCATGGTGGGTTGTGCCTTTAATCATTATATAATGTCCTTCCTTGTCTTTTATGGTGGATTTTGTCTTAAAGTTTATTTTATCTGAGATTGTTATTGCCACTCCTGCTCTTTTTTGGTTGCTGTTTGTGTGATATATTTTTTCCATCTTTTGATTTTTAATATATTTATATCTTTGTGTTTAAGGTATCTCACTTGTAGACAGCATAGTGATGGGTCCTGACAAGGGCCAGAAGGCAGAAGGGGACAGGGAAGCTGGTGATAGGGAACCCAAGGTTGAGTAAGGATATTGTTGATGTGTTGTGAGATTGTTAA